TTGTGACGCAATCATTTGGGCCTCGTGGCATACAAAACCAAGTTATTTCTGGCACATAGTCAAAGAGTCAAGTGTAAATTCAAAACAACTAAGCGCCAGGGTTACACGGGCTCTTGGTACAAAAGATTACGTACCACTAGTACTGTTGCAGGAGGGAATTGTTCAGGTGTACAAGTAGTACTGTCAAGAGGGCGCACTTTGCAGGGTGTTATCACCCGCACTTCAGAGGGTGTGTCCTCATATGTGCGCTTCGGTATCTGACCAATCAGGGACCACCTCGTAGCTAGTCAGTAGGGTGTGGGAGTGCCCCTACACCACTCATCCTAATCCACTCTTCGTTTCTTCCTGTTGTGCGTCTTGCCCTCCTGGACACCTCGCTCAACTCGGTTGTTACCCTCGGACTCGTTATCCCACCTTCCTCTAAGTGCTTGGGCCTACTTTGCCCCTCCTAACAGGTTATGAGCCCTCACTCAACCTTTGCGCCGCTCTACAATGGGCCTCCCCTGGACGACCACAATCGTACGTTCCTCGAATGGAAACCGCTATTCATCAGCCAGGCTGATGGCCATGAATTTACTCAGTTCTATATGAACAAGGCTTATGTGCCTTCTGATCTTGAGCGGTCTATTTTGAGCATTCTCGACGACGACGTTCAAGTCGACAAATTGAAGCACCCTTAGCTATACCATGTTGATCCCGACTTGTCTGAGGATGGCCTTGCAGCGTGGCACAAGGTTATCGCTGACCACGTCCAATCAGTGAAGAGCTCGACGTTAAAGTCCGAGACGGCAAAGTCTCTCTCTAGACTGCGCGCACTGGCGCTGAATCGTGGACTCCCTGCCGAAGTTATTCTCCAACATCGCTTGCCCCTTTACTCTTTATGAGTCTATTGTGTCACGATTTGAAAATAATCCTCTGACTAGCGATCCTGCGGTACTTAATGCACAGTCGCAGAAGGTCAAGTACCACGACGGCGACTGCCTGGACACCTTACTGGCCGACGTTAAGTCCATCGCCAGCCAGTACCGCACGGCCATGATCCCATCCTCGTTGGAGATCACTGCGGCGGAGTATGACGCCTTTCTATGGGCTAACCATTATATGGTGAAACTGTCGGAAGTATTTTTGGACGACAAACAAATTCGGGATCCCATCCGAGTTATTTCGAGCAATGCTAAGGCCTCCGGACAACCATGCTCTGTCGCGGCTATCGACGCTGCCATCAAGGATGCCCTAGCAACGCGTCACCTGCGTTCGCTTGCGCTTTGTGAGCATGGGACAGCCGACTCCGCTCCCACCCGATCGCATCTGATCAATGCCGCCGTCGTTGATGCTACTGCCAGTCCCGTTGGTCTAGTTTCGACACGGATGCTACCCTCGTATGCTCACCCCAAGTGTTATTCCCACTCTGGCCCAGCGTGCTTTTATTGTGGTGATCCCACTCATGTCCTGACCAATTGCAAACTTCTGGCCTCAGATTATTCGCGTGGTACCAAACGCGACGGTTTTCCGCAAGAAGTGTTCGAAAAACACGTCAAGAAGTCCGCACGACGTTTGTCGTCTCGCAAAATTCGCGATGATCATCCTCGTCGTGACGACTACGACCGTGACAACGGCGATGACCGCGGTGGCGGAAGTGCAGGCGCCCCTTGCGGACGAGGTCGTGGCGCCCCGTCGAAGCGCATTCCTCCTCGCAGTCGTAGTCGCAACTGCGGTGGAGATGACCGCAATCGCACTTGGCGCGATGAAGGCTATCGAGGCCGTAGCCGCCGAGGCGTTTCACCGACATCACACTCTAGTAGTCCACGTCGTACTCAAGTTACGCTCAACTCCGCTAGCCATTCCGACTGTCCTCATGTTCCGTCATCGATTACCATCGAGAAGTGTGTCGTTTCGCCCAACTCCGGTGATCGTGTTGATCCCCCAGGTGGTTTGTATCGTAGCCACCGTAACGTTGTTTCGTCTTCTGATATCGGTGTTACCCTTGTGTCCACTGCCTCCATGGTACCTGTCCATCGTCCTGGTAATCTGTCCCGTCGCGACGATGTTGATCGTGGTGCTACTCCTACCCGTTGTGACCACTCTC